TTATTTGTACACCTGAATAATTTTTTATATTACATATATATCAAGCTGCTAAAAAGTTGCCGAAATCTTAAAAAACGTATTGTTGTAGGCTACTTTTTTAATTATTCATTTATAAGTCTGTATTATTTCGGGCTAGAGGGCGATTTTTAATATCACGTGATGAGCGCGTTACTTTCTTGGAAGTGTAGGAAATAATTTGAACCATATAAAACGCAAGTCAAGCGTTAGTGGGTAGTAGAATCAGTTCATTGATTAACGAATCTAGCTGTAACAGCGGTTGATTTATCTTGGTAGTCGGTTTGTCTGTCACTCCAGTTTCATAAAAGAAAGAGATACGAGAAAATTAGCAAGTAAGAGTACAAGTTGTATAGGAAAGAGAGAAAAAACAAACAGTACGAAGGCTGGACTTTGCATTTTGTTTTAGCGAATAACCGGAAAGAATTCGCCCAACAATAGAAAGTGTTACAACAGCATAATTTGATCGGATTGACAAAGTATGTGACGTGATTTTGCAATGTTTGAAATAAACGACCTTAAATAATAACATGTTATCAATCTTAACCCTAAATCTGATTTGTAAATGGCGCATGTAAATTTGATAATAATCCACTTCGTTTGTTTCCCAATGTAACTATTAATGTTAACGAGACCGACGATGGAAATAGCGCCTCAATCACCGTCTCTCTCAGCCGGCCTGATGAGCCCTGATATTAGACGGAAAACCTTGCTGGCACTGGATATGGCAGATGTAATGTGGTTAGCATATTAGTATATATTCCTATTTCCTTTAAATTATCAGTTCTTAGAATTTACTATGTTCTTCATGATTTTCCGTTACCGTTACGACTGGGTGTTTCAACTTAAACATCTCTAGAAAACCGTTGATCAAGTGAGGAGCTTCAGAATGAAGTTTTAAATAATAATTTATTTACATGTGGTTTAGTGCATGTTTTATTTCTGTTTCTGGGTGATAAATAACTTATTTACACGTGATTTAGTGTATGTTTTATTTCTGTTTCGAGGTGATTTCTCTTCAGTGTGTTCCTGCAGCTAAGTTGACCTAATTTTTGTTTTGTGTCCGATAACTATAAGAAACGCTTTAAGGACGGGTTCACGCCCTGGCACTGACGTGGCAACGCGCGAATATAATCTTACTCAGCAACAATAATATATATAGTATTTAGAAACAATCATGTGTAAAAGTTAGGGTTTCTTCCCAGCCATTTATAAGACCAAAGATATAGAAAGGGAGGGTCCAACCATCACCTCCTGGGTGGATACAACCATCACCTCCTGCCAGAGCTGAGGATTTAAAAGTCCCACCTATTTGGAATTTGCTAATAACGTTAAGTTTTTAAAACAGTAAAATAACCGCTCTGATTCAAACATAATAACTATAGTTATTATTGAGTATAGTACTTGCGCGAACTTACGACACTCTTAAATTTAAGGATTAAAATTATTTCTAGATTGAAAATAAAAACAAAGTAGCATTAACAAAGTAACGTTTTAAACGATGTATATTAACTTCATTGAAATAACGAAGTTGAAATGCCTAAGTGTGTGTGTGTGTGTGTGAAAAGAAGAGATCAGGTGAAATGCCTAACCAAACACAAACACTTTGAATATCTCAAGTGAGGAAGGAATTAATATACCAATTTTCTTAATCCACTGATGAAGAAAGAGTTACAATGTTCTTAATCCTGAGATTAGTAAAGAATTAATCTACCAGTTTTCTCAGTTACAAAGCTTGAAGTAATTAATTTATCGGCGTTCTTGTCTCAAACATAAATGTTTTATTATTATTATTCATATCGTAGATAGAAAATTCATCACATTTTTAGCCAATCAACTTTTGTATGAGCAAGTTCATATTACACATGCGCAATAATTTTTAACGTATATTTTTATTTATTTAATTTAATACCGAGTTTATTAAAACAACCGTAAAAAAGATCGTATACTCTTCTTTTACAGTTCGTTAACTTAAGCTGTTTGTGTACGAGCAGCTGATTAAACCTCTTCAACGATCAGATACAAGTCCTACGTCAACGAGCAGATACAAGTCCTACGTCAACGAGCAGATACAAGTCCAGACAAGTCTTACGTCAACGAGCAGATACAAGTCCAGACAAGTCCTACGTCAACGAGCAGATACAAGTCCAGACAAGTCCTACGAAATCAAGTTCCCGCTCTTCTTGGCAAACACAAATTAAATCGACCTGATGATGTTACATTTACACGGGAAATAATTCAGGGGTTTCCAATAAATAGTTCGCATCTCTGTATTTAAGTTGTTGATCACCCCCCCCCCCCTTATATTATTTTCCAACTTTAAAATACTTCATTAATCTCACAACTTAGTTGTTTTCAATCTTATTATTAAGGAAATTACGTAATAATCCGAAACATTAAAAATATAGTATTTTAACAATCGTTTCAATTTTCTTGCAAGAATTACGAAATAAATCCACTGCCAGTGACAAGATATATTTTTTTTTTTCAGTACACTATTTTCTTCCCCTTGATTATGATTTGTTTCCCGATAGTTTCATTTTTTTATTGGACATTTTTCCTGGTTTCGAAGGTGTAAAGAACAAGTCTAGCGCGTGTCAGTAAAGTTCAATTAATCTATTGAATAGGGCCTACTGGTCAGTATGTCGGACTTGGAGCTGCGGTTCCAGGGTTCGCGGCCGGTTATCTCTCCCCCCACACACACAAAATTGCGCTCTGCATTATAAGAACTTTAATAAGAATGGCAGTCAGATCCCACTCTTCTGCCTGACAAGAGTAGTCCAGCAGTTGGCGGTGTTGAATAGTTGTTTTCCTTATCACTTCAAAATTTGAGACGACACCCGCCGCAGGTAGCTTTTCGTGAAATTTAGCAAAATAATTTATATTTTTATTCACTTTATAAATGTTTTCTTTTTTCTGTGGTATATTTGTCACTTTTTCTGGTATGGAGATCGCGGCTTTCAAACTAGAGGGTGGGTCGAGTGCCCCTGGGGAACTGTGATATAGTTTCAGGGGACCACAGTACATACACAAATATTTACTCCGTCATCTGAAAAGTGCCCGCTCTAACAGAATGTTCAACTGTAAAAGGGGAGGCAGTTAAAAAAAATAAAACAAGCAACAGTATTTGTCAGTATATCTGGCATTAAGCCAAGAAAACAGTATTTGTAAACCCCTAGCGTATATCATGAGCAGACATGTTTAAACAACGTTCACGCAATTTGTTGGTGATGCTTTAATGTTTAAACTCGGAAATTTCATGTCTCTTTCTTGCACATTCGCACTTCAACACCAAAATTCAGTTTCCAGTTACAACAACTGTCAACATGGCGACAGCTTTTAGACACGACGAAATTCTGACAATTCACGGAAGAATTTGGATTTTTTTTTTCAGCCCGAGTTCAGGTTTCCTAAACATATTTAACTAACTTTCTGATAAAAGGACTTAATTGTTTTTT